CGGCCTGGGGCGGGGCAGGCGCTGGGCTCGGGGCTGGCAGCGCCTGCGTTTTCGCGAAGGAGGCCAGTCATCAAGCAGCCCTGAAGCACGATTTCCCTGCGGGGCCAAGCCTGGCTCCTGCTCCTGCCGTCCCGCTCGTTGCTTTTCCTCTGCCGCAGGCAGGGCACGGGGAAGTGTCTGCCCTCCCGACCTAACCTAGGGCTGCCCGTGGTGCGTCCCCTGCCGTGTTCAGCCCTGTAAATGTCTGCCCCGTGAGTAGTTTGGTAAGGGGGATCTTTGCTTCATCTTCTTTAGTCTTCTTCTGCTCGCCAGCGGCAGACCTGCTGTGTGTGGGCAAGGCAGGGTTGCACATCAAGATGAACTGGTTCAGAGAGGCGTGAGTTTTCCTAGGCTTTGTTTCCAGCTTTGCGTGCAACTCAGCTTCAAATGTTTCAGTGGGGCTGCTCATGGGAGTGTAGTTAAGTAGGGGAGTAGTTGCATCCAAAGGCCCGTGTACTTTACAGTAAAATGTTGATTATATGGAACATCAGTTAACCTGAAGATTTTATACCGTGCTAACCAAAACAAGTGTTGTTTTTTCTTTTCTTCCCTGCCCCCGCACCCTCTGGACAAGCCTCCCGCAGCTCCATCCTGCACCCCACCGCCACTGCCCCGGCTGTACAGCACCTGCTTGTGCCCCAGCCCTACTCCCTCCCTCACCATGGGGGCCTCAATCTGCCCCCTGCCCCCCCATACTCTTTGACCCCAACAGACTTACCAGCCAGAGGCTGCTCTCCAAGCTGCCCGGCTGCATATTGGCAGTCGGTTGGTATCAGCCAGCATGGATGGTCAACTATATCTGCCATCGGTATATTGGCCCAAAAAATCTTTATCCGTACACCCCTACTTGTTGGCAAGACAACTGTTTTGTTTATTGCATAGTGCTTTGAGATTTTACAACGGCACGTGATTTAAGTGGAGTGTGACAATTACACATTTAATCGTGGAACCAAAATAAAGGCATTTTTCTGTCTGAAGCAAAAAGTTGAGATTATAGAGAAGCTAAAGAAAGGCATAAGCCTTAAAACTGTCAGATGAGTACAACGTCTGTCTTTTTACAGTTTACAGTTTGTCAGAAAGTAGTGCATCCGTTATAAACTCTGTCAATCATGGATAGTGAAGGAGGATGTGAAGTGAGGAACTACATGAAAGGGCAGAAAATGCTGCACTGGAAGATGCAGTTCATACATGATTTATTCAAAAGAGTTTAGGGGGGAACCAATACCTGTGCCACTTTTGTGTGACAAAGTCCTTGAGCTAAATCAAAAACTCTGAATATCAAAGCCAGCACTGAGTGTTTAAAATGGTTTGGCAACCTTTTCTGGCCATGGGCCAGAATGACCCACCCCAGGTCAGAGGTGGGAAGGTGCAAGGACCCACCTGCAGCTGGTGCTGGTCCCTGCAGCAACCCAGAGACCTGGGACGAGCAACTGCCACTGAAGCCTCACGTCTGCGGGCCAGATTTAATGGTTCTGTGGGCCAGATCCATCCCCTTGGCCGTAGGTTGTTGACCCCTGGGTTAAAATATTTCAAGTTGTGTCTCAGATTCAGGGAACTGGAAATGCAAAGGGCAAAACTGTCTGTCAGCCAACCAGTAGTTGATTCATTCAAAAGGTTTTTTTTTTCTGGAAAGTGAAAGATTTGACAGAAACAATGTTTACAACACAAACAAAACCAATCTAAATTAGAAAGCTTTGCCTCAAAAGACCTTGGCCTCAAAGTGAGAAGTAACAGCTTGGGGGCATAAAGTAAGCGAAGATTATATCACGGTCATGATGTGTGCAAACTTATGTGGCTCTATATGGCCTTATGTGGCTTTGGATTTTTTATTGTTAAAAATTCTGAGGTTTCCTGGTGCTTTTAGAAGAGTTGCAATCTTTTCAGTGACACACAGAAGTCAGAAAAGTTCTTGGGTTGACAGTAACCAGTTTCAGGATTGGGGTGTAAACATGTTCATTCCAGAAGTTCCAAAGCATCAGAAGGAAAACGGAAAGGACTGAAACGTTTTGCTGATGTTGAACTATTCCATCTACGTGAGGTGAATAAAGCAAATGAGAATTTCAAGGTTATTTTTCTCCTGTCAGATACTATGCCCATTCTTCAACCAATGGATTGAAGGGTGACTGAGGCTTTCTAGCAGAAAACAGCTTCTGTGTTAGTTGTTTCTTATTGATGGTGATGATGAAGGAATTACTAATTTTACCAAAACATGGACCTAAAAGAAGCCTCATACACAATAACAGACACTTGGACACCAGTATCATGAGTCATATTGTTCTGGGCTTGCAAAAAACCTGTGGCCCCCTGCCATGACACAAAAGTAATGATAATGCTAAATGAAACAGAGGATCCTGCCTTTATATTGGAGTGGATCAACATGTTGGGCAACTCTCAGTTGTGAAGAGTATCATGAAAATGTACGTAGTTAGCTTTCCCTTGGTGCTGGAGAGTTCCAAAGCATCAGAAGTTCCAAAGCATCTGGAAGAGCACACACCAACTGCTGAAACTTCCTTAGCCTGACGAAGGGTTTTTGCACTTGAAAGCTTGCTTAAGAACTATTCTCCAACCATTTGGGTTGGTCTAATAAAAGATATCAAATTCACCCAAGGAACCTTGTCTGCCTATATTTAGTCCATGATTTTTAGTATCCAGGAGGTTGATGTAGTGGAGTTCATAGGCTCGTCTCTGGGATGTGTTGTGTAAGTTTCCTTTGAGGATCAGGACTGAGAGATTGGAGAGAGAGTGGCCCTCCTGTGAGAAATGTGCCCCCACAGGTAATTGGGTATTTCTGTCTTTGATAGATTGCTGGTGTGCGTTCATTCTGGTGCGCAGTTGTTGTTTGGTCTCTCCTACATATTTTCCATCAGGGCATTTGGTGCATTGGATGAGGTATATTATATTTCTGGAGGTACAGCTGTATGATCCTGGGATGCTGATGGCTCTGTTGTGGGGTGTAGTAATAGTGGGGGTGGTGGAGATGTGTTGGCAGGTTTTGCATTTCTTGTCATGGCATCTAGTATGGGTTGCAGTTGTTTGAGGATTTTTCGTACAGGTTCAAGGGAGAGGTGATATGTCATAACTAGCGGTGTGCGATTTGGGGGGGGCGTTCTGTACTGCAGTAGTTCTTCACATGTTATCCGGGTGGCTCTTTCAAACGTGCGATCTATCTCTCTGGAGGACTGTCCTTGTTGAGTGAAAGCCTTTTTAGGGTTGGTGAGGTGGCAGTCCCGGGTGTTCTCTTCAGTACAAATGCAGTGGTATCTGAGGACTTGGCTGTATATCACAGCTGTTTTGGTGTGTTTGGGCTGATTGCTGGTTCTGTGCGTTTGGGCTGATTGCTGGTTCTGTGCAGATATGTATGTTGGTCTGTGGGTTTCTTGTATAACGTGGTCTGTATTTTATCATTCTGGATACTGATCATCGTGTCTAAAAAGGAGATGTTGTGCTAGAGTATTCTAGAGAAAGTTGGATGGAAGGATGGTGATTGTTGAATTTCTAATGGAACTCAATCAGAGATTGTAGGTTTTCAGTCCAAATGATGAAGATGTCATCGATATATCTTAAGTATAGCAAGGGTTTGATGGTGCAGTTCTTGAGGAAGTCTTCTTCCAGGTGGCTTATAAAAAGGTTGGCATACTGTGGGGCCATTTTAGTACCCATAGCTGTTCCCATCATCTGGAGGAAGTGTTGATTATTAAAAGTGAAATTGTTGTGTGTGAGGATGAAGTGTATAAGGTCAGTAATATCTTTGGGTCTGTATTCTGGATAATTGATATTCTTTTGTAAAGGGATTGGTGGGGGAAGTAAAATATAGGTTATTTATATATTTGTTGGAAGAATCATTCTTTTTGATTGTAAAAGGGCACTCGAAAGGTTTTTATTTGAAACACTGAATTTCATAGCTCTACAATTTGCAGATAGCTCTGACTGTGTGCTGCACCTACAGCATTGTATTGTGAAGTTTTTCACATTTTACTAGAAACACTCCTGTGGTATGTTTTGAAGTTTTGCAAGAAGGACAGCTGGAAAATAGTTTTCAAAAATGTTATTCATCACTGACAGTACACTGACAGTACACTGTTCTAGGAGTACTGTTAGAATATTAAAAGTGATTTTTTAAAGATCTGATACATTTATTATCATTCATACTTGCTATCTTTTGTACTTTATATGAACAATGAAAGACAGTTTCTTTTATTTTATCATCTGATTTGGCTGTTGTTTTTCATGTACTTGCATAGTATTTTATCTGGATGTTCAGCCCACAAAAGTTTATTATTTTATTTTACTTCAGTTTGAGATTTGAACAATGGATAAAACACTGACCACATTGAAATTGATGGGAGTTTTGGCATTAGACTTCTATAGAGCTAGGTTTTTGCCTAATAAAAGCCATTACATGCATAACACACTGTGTTTTTAGTAACAACCAAAGTTAGTAAACTAAATATGTTATACTAAACAATATGAACTATCGCTAGTTCTTTAACTACACTTGCAGTAGGGTGAGGGAAATTCTTTAAAACATAGTTTTATCAGGAAAACTTTTTTAACGTATGGAATTTTAAATAGGCTATAATGTTGAAGAAAATAGTTTAAAAATCTGTATGTATGTAGGTTAAATAACAAAAATTCCTCTCTGGACTGGATCTTTCAGACAAAACTCATTAAGGTTCTAGGATTCAGGCCACATCCATTTTCCAACTATGCAATATGTTCCTGTGTAGAAAGATTCTGACTCACTTATAACTTAAGAATTGTGCGCTTTAAATAACTGAATAGTTTATTTGGTTTTTTTTAAAGGCAGCAGAATCTAGACCAAAGAAATTAGAGGGCCATTTGTAATTAAAATGAAAGAAAATCATACAATAGGAAATATATAAAATTTATAGTCCAATAGAAATACATAAACATATTGTTAAAAGTTTCCTTTTTATTTCCAAAGGTGACTTTTCAAAGTTCTAACTGCACAGCATTTTTTCAAACGAAGAAAAAAGAACCCAAACCAGGTATGTTTTAGAAAATCGAATATTTGTGGTAAAATGCTTTGCACATGTTGTGGAAATTTGGTTAATCACTAGAATACAGGTACAGATTGATTAGGCCTTTGTCTTGCAAGTCTTCAGTGCATACTTAAGAATGCTCATTGGTGTTTGTAGGATTGAGTCCTTATTATTTTTTGTCACATACTACTCTCAATATTTTGCTTAGGAAAAGGGTTGTTTTTTGTTTTGTTTTTTGAAGCAAGACTGATGACACAAAAACCAGAGATGTAATATGTGCAATATGTGTAATATGTGTAATATGCGCATCATTTTCTACTGTACCATTCCATTACTTGTTGTACTGTTTTTACAGCCTAATGAGAATTTATATTTGATTTCAAACAATGCTGGCATCTACAAACGCTGTGTTTTCATTAGAAAGTTTATTTTATGAAACACCGGATACAACGCAAAAGTAAGTCTTACCTTGTTGAATGTACATAAGTGTTTGTCTTCCTTTTCTGTACTTTGAGCCATTTTACAATAGAAAACAATTGTGGAATTATTTCCCCTGGAGCTGCAAAAAAAGGACTTGGAACTTTCAGGTTTAGAACCCCATAATGTTTTGTAATAGTCAAAGTACACTGAATAGCATGACTTTGCACTTATGCTTATATTGTATACAATATTAATCTTAAAAGCTATAGATTAACTGAAATTTTACCTCTTCAAATTTACTGCAACATTTTAAAAATTAAAGGGAAAAAATTAGGAGAAGAACTGATCAATATGTTGCTTAAGATTAAGTTTTTAAATTAACTTGGAGAATGCATAAGGAATTCCTTTACTTTGTGTTCTTTGTAACAGGTATCTAGAAAATACAGGACCAAAAAATTGGTTTCTTGCACCTGTTCCATCTATTGCTGAAATTCCCAGCACTCAGGAGCTAGAGAAGGAATTGGAAAAAAATAACCATCTAGGTAAAATATATACAATTGATTTTTTACTATGCAAACAAAATTAGAAGACAAGTATCTGATTCTCCCTCACTCCATATGTGGAGCGTTAATGTGAAAAATACATGCACATTTAGAAAAATAAAATCCCTGGTTCAGGGTAAAAATATTATTGTTCATGTTCTTATGGGGCAAAGGAAGTAGAATCTAGACATAAGTCTTTGCTGAGAATTTCTAAGACATGAGGTTGTCATGATAGTCATATACGGCCCTTGGTGTAGAGATTTGCAATGTGTGGGAATTGGCATTTTGGGAGAGGAGAAGTATGCCCATAACTTTATTGGTTCTAGAATGTGGTACAGAATTATAGGAGACTGTGAGAAGCAGCTGTAAGAATGTGCTAGTCCTCTTCTGGTCTATGGACCAGCGCAGCATTCGGGAAATACAAAGGTGATATAAATCAACCTTTTTCTGTCCATATTTGGTGTGAGCCTTTGAAGCTGTACCACTCATGAGGGACAGCTTAGCATCTGCCTCAATAACTTTTGAATAACTTTTTAAAGATTTATCCTTTGGAGTTTCCACTATGAGAAACTCTTCCCATGAAATATTAGTGCTCCACAGTCAAAAAATAAACCTGTGCAGCTAAATAAATTTACTTAGGCTTATGAAAATAAGCTCTTAATAAGCTATTATGTAGATATCACAAATATAGAGACTATTTTTTGGTTACAAATATATGCCATTAAATTACAGGATGGTGACTAATTCTGTCATTCACAAATTACAGGCATAACCCAAAAGTGTGGCATAGGGACTATAGCTCTTATTCTTACTAAGAACTTGAGGATTGATATATGTTTTATAACAGGGGCACTCAACTGGCTGCCTATGAGCTGTATGTGGCCCCCAAAGGGTTAAGCTGCAGTCTCCAGGCCTCTGGTCTGGACCACTGCCTCCCCACCACTCCTGCTGCTGCTTTTGCCAGTCTCCAGTCTCCCCATCCCTCCTCCAGTTTCCATTTGTTGCCCCCATCCCTTGGGGCAGGACAGCACAGGTCAGAGTGGAGCAGCAGATGGAGTCTGCAGCCAGGGGACTTGGTGGATCCCAGAACTTTACAAGATGTGAGAATGCAGTTTAGCAGAGGGGTGCCTGCCACATGGTGGTAGGGGCATCTGGTGCAGTTGGGGCTATGCAGCATGAGTGTACAGTAGACAGTTGATGGCATGCCAGCAGTGATTTAGCTTCTTCAATCATTGAATGTTCTTCCAAGAAGAAGGATTGCTGGGAAGAGATGGAATCCATCTGATGAAGAGAGGGGGGAACAGTGTCTTTGCAGACAGGCTTGCTAACCTAGTGAGAAGGGCTTTAAACTAAGTTCACTAGGGGATGGCAACCAAAGCCCTGAGGTAAGTGGAGAAGTGGGAGACCTGAAGGAAATGCAAGCAGGAGGGCGCAACAGGTGAGGTGTTCTCATACTTTCTGAGAAATCAGGGCAATCAACCAGTTACTTCAGGTGCCTGTACACAAAGGCACAAAGTCTGGGAAATGAGTAGGAAGAATTGGAAGTCCTCACATAGTCAAGGAACTATGATGTGTGTGCCCACCTCCGCTCTAATAGGTGCTCTCGCACAGCCTTCGCCTGGGCCAAAGATCTTGTCTGCCCTGGGCTCGCGGGTGAACCCCACAGGCTACCCCTGCTGATGTCAGGAGGACCCCTTAACTCGCCTGCCACGACTTGAGATGGAATTTCAGTGGGGGGTCCCCCCTTGGGGCAGCCTCCAGGGCCGTCACGTTTCCCGGCGGGCACTCTCAGGGCTCCGTCCTCCCCTACACCCCGGCCACTCGCTACCTTAAGCTCTCCCTCTTCTGGCTTCCACGGTGTCCACAGCCTCCCACTCTCTTGCTCCTGACTTGTCGGCCGTCTGTAAAGATCTTCGGGCTCGACGTACAGCCTACGGGGGTCGCCATCCCGGCCCTTTCACCTCGGCTCCTACTATTCTAGCCTAACCACCCCGTGACAGTGTGTGCCTATCCCACCACCAGGTTCTCTAAACTAATTTGCCCTGGGGGCCCGCAGGGGGACCCCTGGTCTCTGGACCGTGTGGTTTTTTCCCTCTCTGGATTTGGGCCCCACCGCCCAGGTAGCTCCCACGCTGGGGTTGCCAGGTCCCTTCTGCCTCTCCAGGCCGCCGGGGCCACGAGGTTGGTTGTCCGTCCCTGCTCCGGGACTCAGCCCATTTGCTAATTCCGCCCCCAACGGGGTCCCGTTGGTCCTGCCCCAGTGTTACCTCGCATAGGATCCCTCTGGATGCTGCTGCCGTCTCAGCAGTGGGGGTGACTGTTACTCTCCCCGCCGGTGTGGCACCAGAATTCCTCT